AACCCCAAAAGGCAGTCATGGACTGGCCCGAGACCGGTCCATGACTGCGAATATGTAGCTCATGCTTTTATTGAACTATAGGTGGTGTCGACCTGAGTGTACTGATATTGTGTTGTTTGTTACTGTATTCAGTATTGTGGGTCTTGTGGCAATTCAGTATTGCTCACTTGGGCATTGATTTTTCTTCCTTACAAAAGCTCGGTACTCTCCCAATTCAAGAAACTTGTACTACGTATATGTTATCCAGCAGTGGACACCAAAAGGTGCTGCCAAACTGTTGCTATATTAATCAAAGGTGTTTTGTCAAAACAATGAAACAATAGGAGCATATGAGGACAAATATGCATTTCATCGTTAGGATCACAGAAAAGGAAAAGTTAATTACAATTACAAATCCAATCAACAACTATTGCATATTTAATATGCTATTTGAATTCACTCCCCTTGAATGCAGAAGTGGCCAATCATAGTGGAATTCTTGAATGCAGCTTCCAGTATCATCCTCAACTCTTGTTCTTATTATTGCAACTGCTCTTGAAGCATTGTCACCTAAGTCGCAAAAAAACTTTTATGAGAAAATATCCAAGTATATTCAATAATATAATGAACATCTTATAATCTCACTTCCTTTGGCATGGGGCACTACTTTAGAAAAAGAATTCAAAAGATGGGGTGTGGATTCAAGCAACGTGTAAAGTGGAGACCCTCCACATTGGGTAACAAATTGAATCAAATTTGACAAAACATTATTTGATACGGTGTAGAGCTTATACCAAATACAGTGATTCTATGATGCACTCAGAATCACACTCATTATTCACATTCACATTTTCAAATTGCTGCCAAGCTCAACTCAAGAGACATATGCTCATTTTTAGAAACAGAGTACTTAAATAAATATCCATACTCTTTAGAACATGTTCACAAAAAAAAAAAAACTTCTATGCTCTATATCAATCTGATTTTTTATATAAAAGAGTTTCAACGTGGCTTCAAATTAAAAGTAAATAAGACACAAATGTTACACCAAATCTAACGCAAAAATGAGAAAAGTGTTCCAAACTTGCAAACATTAGAAACAAAGCATAAATTTGAACTCAGCAAGTAAAGTCGCAAAGAGGAAACAGTTGTGTGTACAATAGGCAAATGTTGATAATTATATGATCTAAAACAAAGGTGGAGAAAGAAAATGTGACAGTGTGAGGAACACACAATTAATTAGATTGTACTAATCTCATATAATTATACCTTTGGAGTGCCAGTTGAGTTCGGTATTATGTTTTTCCCAGCTCCATGCCCTCCCCTCCAAACCTTCATTTAAGCTTCATCAACTATCTTTTGTTTGGCTGAAAATCAAGATCAACACATTTGAACCGAATAAAGTAAAACCAAGAACCCGAAATTTTTTTAACAAATAAGAAATTCAAACTAAACATAACTTGGTTCTAATTTAGTATTGACCCCCACCCAAACCGTTCAAACTAAACTTAACAAAAAATGCACTGAACCTAAAATGCATACTTGTAACTACCAAGAGCATAGGTTGAGGGACTAACCCTGGCCAAACTTACTTTTTTCATGTGTAAAATTGATTTGAATGATTCTTTCGTCAGATCAAAGAAAAATTCAAACTATAGATATTTTTCTAATTTGTTAGGAAAATAAAATATAGACAAAAGTAGCGAAGAAAGGCAGGAAAATGAATCTTTTTAGAGATGTGTTCAGATTTGATCAAGGCTCCAATTTTTTTTATAAAAAGAATTAAAATAAATCAGCTCATTAGCCTACAAAAATCAGTTTAATAACTTGCTCACCAAAATCTCAATTTATAAAAAAACAAATCAGTTCATCATTTCATTTTCTTAGTCAAAAACTATATTTTATTTTTTTAACTTGCTTTTTTTAACTGACTCTTTGTTAGGCGGCAGAATAATCAAGAACATGATTTTTTTTAAAATCAAGAACATGAATGTATACGAAAGCTGCCTTTTTTTAAAACTGAATCTTTATACTACCTATTTTACAGGTATATTTCAAATTCAGGCCATTTTTAGAACCTTGGATGGAAAGTTCTTTCTCATAACTGCCCTTTCTCAATAACTTCCATAACCTCTCATAGGGTATCATTGGATCCCCTGTAATGTTAGAAGAGTAAAATATAAAGAAAAGTAGTGAAGAAAAACTTAGAAAGACCCAAACTAAACATATCTATTTTAGATATTTGTTCAATTTTATAAAGTTCTTAATTAACTTAACATGATCCAAAGCCACAGATCCATAAAAAATGTTTTTTTCAAACATCAAAACCAAATATGCATAAAAAATTAACATGATATAATTGATATTGAGAATTCAAGCCATACTATTCACCATGTTTGTTATATCGTTTTCCTTAAACAAATGAATAAGCACTTTTATTTATTCACCATTTGTTATATTGTTTTCCTTGAAAAAAAAAAGAATAAGCACTTTTAGAGCTATCTTCTCACTTGTGCATCAATTTATTAATCTATGCAGTCCCGGATCAAGAAATATGTACTTCCTATTGAATTCTAAAACCCTAGAAATTTAGGCATCATAGAAAGACATTTTTCATTGAGGAATTATAACAAACACCTTGCAATCAAAACATTTACACCCATTCTTTTTACTGAAAATCAACACTGTGAAAGATTTACAGGATAGAATTAGACTGACCTCGTTGATGTTAGCAATTTGAAAAAGAAAAAATCATTTAGAGTGTTCTAACAAAACCTATGTAACGATCCAGAGAAAGGCATAAAGACGACTTCATCTCAAAAGATTGCAGTATAAGAAGTTTGAAATTGAAAAACAGATAGAGTGAATTTCATGGCAGGTCTGAAATGCACTTTGGCATTGGTCATTTTCACTGATACAAAAAGTTATGATGGAGAAGGCTAAGTGATAGAAAAGAAAAGAAGCAGAGGGGTTATCGAAGGTGGGCCATTGCAAAAAACAGTTGAAAATTGAAAAAATAAAATCTATTTACCCGATTCATGAAAGACATATAGGGGGTGTTTGGAATTGATTCTGCTTCTGCTTCTTTTTTTAAGTGAGAATCAGAATCAGAATTTTCTGCTGTTTGAAAAAGTGATTCTATTTGGAGTGTTTGGTATTGATTTTGCTGTATGTAACAAAGAATCAGTTTAGAGTGTTTGGATAACCTTCTTTTAAGAATTGCTTTTGGTGTAAATTTACCAAAAGGGCATATAGTTTCCTTGTAATACTAGGTATAAGGTATAAGGTAATATTGCTTAAATAATATAATCCAAATAAAATTAATGTGGGTTTAGAATTCTCGTTGCAAGAGGCTGCAAAAGGAAAAAAACGATAGGACAAACCCAATACTCATGCTTTTAATAAAATAGGGGAATAAAAAAATTAAACCCAAATTTTAGAATAGACGAGAAGAAAAGAGTAAAGTCGGGTGGATGGTGGTTTACATTGGCTGTGGATCGGAGAAGAGTAGAGCCAGCTGGATGGCTGTGGATCGGAGAAGTGAAACGCCGGAGAAGAGCTGGCTGGATATTGTGCTTTGTGTAGGTCGGAGGAGAAGAAGCTCAAGCTCGCAAGCCCTGCCTAATTCGATGTGGTGTGCTAGTATATTGATTGAGTGCATTTTGGGAAGAAAATTAGAAGAAGCAGAATCTGTTTTGGAGAAGCTGATACTACCCAGCTTCTACAAAAGTGATTTTTCAGCCATCTAAAAGCACTTTTAAAATCAGATCCAAACACCCAAGAAATTGATTCTGCTTCAAAGTGCTCCTTGGTACAGCAGAATCAGTTTGTAAAAGCGGTTCCAAACACCCCCATAGACAACACGATAGGTGGACTAAGATGATTCTAAAGGAAGACCGAAGAAGAAAGAATCTGAAATCAGTTGGAATGGAAGCCGCGGTCCAGGTGCGAAGGGGAAAATGATTGAGAATGGAAAAATTGGATGGAAATGAAGGAAACTCACGGACCTTTGATTTGTTAGCGTAAATCGGATGGATGTCAAGTGAGAATGGTTTGAGCGGGAATTTAGTTTTTAGTGTTGCAGTGCTATTAAGTAGAGGATTATTCTATAAACTAAAGTTGTTTGTTAAAAGAGTTCTGTTCAGGCATTATCCAAAATTTACGCCTGATTTATGTATCTAATACTATGTACTACGTAGTATGTATGAAGTATATTTTACCTCCATAAATATTTTACCTCCGTAAACAATAGAATCTCATAAGTCAGCCAGGTCAATAAGTGAACCAACATGGCTACACCTTGGCTATCTTTGCATTTTGTTACAATTACTTAAATTATACTCTCCCGTTCCAAATCGATTTGCAAAGTTAACATTTTTTTGTCAATCAATATTAAAGTCATATTTTCCATATGGATAATCCATTCAATTTTTAATAATTAAAATTTACATATTCAAAAAATTACATTAAAATCTCTTCAAATTTGCAAATTCTAGTATAATTAAAAAATGACATTTTAATTAAATGAATAAAATGGAATTTTTGATAAAAATGTCAATCTCGGGGAAGAGGTAATACTGGGAAAAAATTACGAGCCCGTTTGGAGAACTCTGTTTTCGGCTTATCAGGCTTATCAGCCAGCTTTTTCACCAAACACGTAACTTTTACTTTCGTGCGCTGAATTGTGTAATAAGCCGAAAAAGTAAGGTTGGAGTTACTTTTCTGGCTGTATTGGCTGAAGTTACTGTAGAGGACCATTTTAGCTATTTTTACATATAATTTTTTCTTTAATTTATTAATAAAATATGTTTTTAAAATATTTTTTTCTTAAATCAGCAGAATCAGCCAAAACAGCCACTCCAGCCAGAATATCATAAATTTCAGCAGAATCAGCCAAAACAGCCGATTTTGGTGCTACCAAACGGGCTCTACACAAGTGCCATGGAACAAAAGAATCTTCCCGTCTATAGAATACAATAGGAATCTAAATTTTAGGAATCTGACTTTTCTTCATCGTCCAGGTTCAATGTAATGCACTGTGAAATATATATAGTATTCCCCAAAGCTATCATTTTTTATACTTTACTAAATTCGCTGCCATTCACTACCGCCGTCTACTCCGCCTCTGAGAAGAATGGCTTCTGATGGATTCCGGCCCCTGGACGAAAAATCGGTGGCGGAGTACATAAAATCGACTCCGTCTCTGACTTCAATACTAGTGGGAAATGAACCACATCAGCTCGATAAACTGGAAATTAGAGAAGTCGGTGATGGAAATCTCAACTTTGTTTATGTTGTTATCGGTCCTTCTGGTTCTCTTGTCATCAAACAGGTACCTAATTTTCCTTCCTTCCTTCAGTGAGTTTGCTTAAAAACGCTATCGTTTTGGTTTATTCTTTTCTCTGCAATGAAAATCTGTTTATGCCCCTGTGTAGACTGATAAGTGATATGATAGACCGATTACCTGAGTTATCGCCTTGATCGATCGTTCTAATGTCCAGCTCTTTGATGTTGATTACTTAAAGAGTTCCTGAATTTCTAAATTTACTGCTTTAAATTCTTAGAATATTTTCAGCGATTTTTATCTCAGCTTTACAATGTCTTTACTCTTTAGAGATCAATTTGAAGTGCTTATATAGGGAGTAAATTTTGTTAGTTAAGGTACTTACGTAATATGAATCGTAAAATTTGAATTCAGAAGTGACTAATTAAAAATGCAGGTTTGGATAATCATTAGTGTGCAATGGTCTGATTACATAATATAGTGCTAAAGAAATTTTGGCCAGACACTGAGTGCTTTATGTTAATGAAACATGGGATAAATCTCAAGCATTTTTATGGTTTGATGACTTGATCATTCATTAAAACCCTCTGAGTATCATTGTTGTTTGTAGGCCATCCCATATGTAAGATGTATTGGCGAGTCCTGGCCAATGTCAAAGGAGCGTGCTTATTTTGAGGTGACAACTTTAAAAGAGCATGGACGCTTATGCCCTGAACATACTCCTGAAGTTTACCATTTTGACCGAACCATGTGTTTAATTGGCATGCGCTACATTGAACCGCCTCATATAATCTTAAGGAAAGGACTGATTGCAGGGATTGAGTATCCATTGCTTGCTGAGCATATATCAGACTACATGTCTAAGACACTTTTTTTCACTTCCTTGATTTATCTTACAACTACCGACCACAAACGTGCAGGTATCTGATTTTAAAATTTCACTAATTTTGTTTGAATTTGGTATGTGTATATATCGAATTAGTGATCCATATTTTTTTCAAATAGCTTCTTTAGGCCCCCATATTATTAATTTGTAATAAGACTTCTCTTCTTTGATGCCCATTGCTGATAGATTTGGTAGTATTATCTTAATTCAAGTGTTATGTTTCCTTGATGTAGATGATATCTGAATTAGTGCCTTCCTGATTGGTTGGAGTTGTTTTTGCTTGCAAGGCAGATTTTTCACTAAACATTAACTTATTCCACTATTGAATCGGATGATGATGGGAAAAAAATAGTGCTAGAGTTAACTTTATTTGGATGGGATGACTCTAATGAAAATGAAATTTGGAACTTCATTTTTAGATATCATTTTCTTCATAGATTTTAGATATCATTTTCTTCATAGATTTTAGATAATTCCACATACTCAGCCGCTTCTGCCACATTTTAAGCAGATTCAGCCATTTCCCAAACAGGGTCTTAGTCTCAGTATCTTTGACTTGTCAACCTAAAACCATTTATTCCTCTACGCAGTTGCAGAATTTTGTGGAAATGTGGAAATGTGTAGACTCACAGAACAGGTGATCTTCTCTGATCCATACAAAGTTTCCCAATATAACCGCTGGACAACTCCTTATCTAGATGCTGATGCAGAGGCAGTGCGAAATGATAATATTTTGAAGCTTGAAATTGCAGAGCTGAAGTCAAAGTAACATTTCCAACTGAAAATATGTTTATTTAGCTCTTTCCACCTCACTTTTTAAAATAATACTATGCTTTAAGTTTAAAGAAGCTTCTTGTATATTTGTTTGGTGATACTTTTCAGGTTTTGTGAAAGAACACAAGCTCTTATACACGGCGATTTCCATACAGGTTCTGTCATGGTTACTCCCGAGTCAACTCAAGTCATTGATCCTGAATTTTCATTTTATGCCCCAATGGGATTTGATATTGGAGCATTTATTGGGAACTTAGTTTTGGCTTACTATGCTCAAGATGGACATGCAAATCAGGGTAATGACCGCCAGGTTTGTGCTGCCTATAAAATTTTATGGTCATGCTTTTGTATTTCCTTACCCCTCCCAGCAAAAGAGTCTAGTTTGAATAAGTTACAACATTTTATTTTTAGTCAACTCAATCAAGGTACAAGTTTTTGCTTTTGTCACCAGTGGTCACTTATCCCCCTATGATTCATATTTATCATTTTAGTCAACCACTGTCTCTATGCCTATGCTAGACACGGACACCAAACACCCTGAGTATTTATTCCATTCCAACAGAGTACTATTATTGCACGGGCCCCATTCATGTCTCAATTTTCACACTGATTTATTAAGTGTATAGACTGTGTGGAACATATAAATGCTAGGGAATGAAAATAGAGGAGACTTTAGAATGTAAGAGCATTTAAGGAAAATAAAGAATGTGTTCAAACTCGATTTAGATGTTTATTTCAAAAGAATTTATTTTTATATGGTATTATATAAAAATATAAAACAAATATTTTGTATTATTTGTAAAGAATATTTTTGTATCATTTGTATTTTCATTCCAAGCCGGCCCAGCTAACATGGATTGATTCATGTTAGCCGACCCCAAAATCTTTGGGGAATAAGGCTTGGATGTTGTTATTGTATTTGTATGATATAAAGTCAAAGATTTAAATAAATATGTAAAACTTTAAAAAGATTTAATCGCATTTGATTTTTCTTAGTATTTTTCAAAAAATAAAGGTAAACAAAAATAGTTATTTTCCGTAGCATTTGTTTCCTTCCCGTACCTTTTCCCGCATTCCAAACGTAGCATAAGAGTCTTTTCATGTGCAGTTATATAAAGAATGGATTTTGAAGACAATAGCAGATACTTGGAGCCTCTTCCACAAAAAGTTCATTGCTTTATGGGATGAACAGAAGGATGGGCCCGGTGAGGTGTATCTTTCTGATATATATAACAATTCTGAGGTTCAGAATCTGGTTAGAGAGAAGTATATGAAAGATGTATTTCATGACACCCTTGGATTCGGCGCTGCCAAGATGATAAGGTACATTTTTTAAGGTTCATGCATTTTAGGAAGTTGGTTTATTATATGGTTGGTCGCTAATAATTTTTTTCTTACGCTGAAACAAATTGCATAGTAATCACTGTGTTGAGGATTTCAGCTTATTACACAGGTCAAACACTATAGATTCACCAGTGACTCTGGGATTTTTTGGTTTATGGATTATGAGATATTATCGCATGTTTTTTCCATTACTGTATGTAATGAAATGCAAGTTTACACATTGTATGAGGTTATCTTAAAGTATTCTCAAAAGGTTAAGGCCAAGCGCGGAGTAGTGTATATATTACTCTCGGTCCAAAAAAATCCTATTTGAATACTTAATTTTTGTCCAAAAATAGCCCTGTTTGAACTAACTAATCTAACCTACATTTAAAGATAACTAAATAATCTAACTTTTACTATATTACTCCCTCCGTCCCCGAAAGAAGTTCTCACTTTCCTTATTTGGATGTCCCTAATTTAAGTTCCCATTTCCTTAAATGGAAAGTTATCTACATCAAAACAGTGCCAAACAGTGCAAAGCAGTGTCAAACAGTGCAAAACAGTGTCGAAACAATGTCAAAACAGTAAAATTTACCTCCTGGTAAGTTTACTTGCATAAAAGTGTGTGAAAGTCAAATGGGGAACTTCTTTCGGGGACGGAGGGAGTAGTATTTTTTATAAAAGTATAAAAATGTCAAGGAAGTATAGTTAAATCAATAAATAAATTTAAAATGTAGTTAGGATTGATGGTTTCCAATATTTAAGCCTTGCAAAGAAAAATGTACCTTAGGAAACACTGTTTCTGGGACGGAGGTAGTACTGTGGTTTAGTGGTTATCGTATAAATGCATAAGAAAATGGATGCAGTCTTATTCTCTCCGTTCTAGTTGTAAAAATCGAGACATGAAAGGTAGTGTTATATTGTTGAGGTAATCAGATTACCCTACCTAGTTACATCATAACATTCTATAAATAAAAAACCTAGGTCATGTTACATTACTGGATCTGAACGCCCTTGAAATTCATTGCTTAATTTTTATTAAATGACTTGAACTACAGGAGAATTGTTGGTGTAGCTCATGTTGAGGATTTTGAATCAATTTCCGATATTGGGAAACGAGCTAAATGTGAAAGGCAAGCTCTGAACTTTGCAAAATTGCTTTTGAAAGAACGACGCAATTTCGAGAGCATTGAAGCAGTTGTTTCCACCATTAAACATCATAACACTTGGTGAAGTTATGATAAAGAGGCTGTTGCTCTGTGACACTTGTAATTTCTCGCGGTTGAGCGTCTTTAAACACAAAATAACAGCAGTGATCGTCGATTAACCGATTAACCGTGCATTGTTAATTGTTTTGAAAAAAGTGAATTTCCTATTCTCTTTTGCATGCATACAATATTGTAACAGGTCTCACCTTTGTACAAATTGTACTACAATTTACATTGTGGAGGGCAGTTCACATCAGGAGTTCCTGATGAGAACCCCCGTGCGGACAAGACCATCAGAGGGTCTTCCCGGTGGAATTTTTTGATGAAATTTTTTTAGCATGTTCCTCATCAAGTCTAGTTTGTCCATACCAAATTTCAGATCAAAATTCCATCGGGAAGGCAGTCAAATAAATCCTGGAAAAACATGGTGCATTCTGCGCACATATAATGTGCAGTATGTTTCCAGGATTTATTTGACTGCCTTCCCGATGGAATTTTGAGCTGAAATTTGGTATGGACAAACTAGACTTGATGAGGAACATGTTCAAAAAATTTCATCAAAAAATTCCATCGGGAAGACCCTCTGATGGGCTTGTCCGCACGGGCCTGCTCTTCAGGAACTCCTGATAGGAACGGGACTCTTACATTGTGCCAATATATAGCTTGCCTTGATGAATGCATGCGTTAATTAGCTATCTTTCATAATTCTAATTAAGAACATGAGTACTGTTAAGGTTTGTTTGGAGGAGGGGAGATTTTAGAGATGTTCCGTAGGAGAAGTGGATGGTTAGTCTATATCATGATATCTCGTGTACATTTGAGGTTTAAAAATATTCAAAAATATGGTACTATGTGAACTTGTAACTTTGAAGTCGTATTTCGTTTATTTTAAAAAACATTGTATATATCATATATGAAGATCCAGAGCCCGTTTGGTAGCTCAAAAATCGGCCGGTTTGGCTGATTCTGCTTAAATTTATGAAGTTCTGGCTGAAGTGGCTGCATTGGCTGAATCTGCTGATTTAAGAAAAAATTTTTTGAAATATATTTTATTAATCAAACAAAGAAAAAATTATATGTAAAAATAGCTAAAATGATCATCTACAGTAACTTCAACTAATACAGTCAGAAAAGTAACTCTTACCTTACATTTTCTGCTTATTATACAATTTAGAGCGCGAAAAAATCAAGTCGAAAAAAAGTGTTGTAAACGGCCTCACAGTCTCCCAAAGTCTGTAATTTATGCTGTGGCCTGTGGGCCTTCCGGCCTTGTACACTCACATTGGAATTTATACTTGTTCCAATTTTCTTTATAGGAAGTTTGTTGACATTACTTGCTCAATTATCAGTTTTTAAGCAAATTGGAAACGCATGAAAATAAATTCTGTTTTACATTTCTATTTCCACCTTTTGTATTTCTTCTCTATCTTCCTGCATTATTCTAAATATTTACAATTTCATTTTGAAATCTTGTGAAAACTTATTTGAGTAAATAAAAGTAAATGAGAAGAGCAATGATGTCCATTTGGGAACATCTGATAAAATTGAAACGATACAAAGAACAGTAACTATATTTTGTTTTAATCACACAGTACCAATTACCAAATCTATACAAAAATATGCATGGTTTGATAGGCATAATTTTAACTTTCTAACTTTTGTACTATTTAAAAAAGTCATTAAAAACTTCAAGTTATATCACTTATATAGTTATATGTTTGACACATCATTTTTAAGAGTTTTTTGTTAAAAATAAAGTATTTTTTGTGAGATGTTACGGTGAGTAACATCTAAGCAAAGTTTGTAACTTTTAGCATTAATTAGTCCCAACAGCTTGTATACCAAGCAGAACTAAGTTAAATAGTCAGTTTTAATCAAATGAGTACTTTTTCCTTTTAAGATATTTTCAATCACTAAAATCTTACAATCATTAAGAAGCTCATAAAAATATATTTTTCAGCTAATGGTGTCAAACATACCCAAAAGCTCATACGATAGTATTTTATTACTTATACATACAAGCATAAAACTAATAAAAATGTTTCTAAATTTATAAGGAAAACATAAAAAATAGAATAAACATAAATAAATATAAAAAGTAACATAAAAATTAAAATAAATAAAAAAACCAACTTAAAAACTAAAAACTAAATAAATAAAAAAACATAAAAATAAAAAACAATGTAGACTTCTGTTGCATTATTACTCTTTGAAAACGTCAAATTTTACTATGAAATTGCGATCAAGAAGACATTATTAGTGCAAGTTATCATTATTAATTTTTTCCGGTGATCGGAGGTGGTGGTGCTAGAAGGTGGCAGATGTGGCGGTAAAAGCGTAGTTTTTTATGTTTTTTTTAATTTATTTTTTTATTTTTGTATATTTTTTATTATAACTTAAAAAAATTCTTAAGGGAACGTATATGGAAAATTAGGATACGAAAAGTTACTTCATTTCGGGAATTTAAAGCTTGTACTCCTATTCTTGTAACTTAACTTTTTTTTTTCTATTTGTGAAATTAGCACTTATATTTATGCAAAATGGAGAAAAAACGTAAGTAATATATATATATATATATATATATATATATATATATATATATATATATAGAGAGAGAGAGAGAGAGAGATCACATACTAACCATGCTTAAAATCCTAACTTACTAACTCAATAATATGCAACACATTGAACTTCAATATGCAGTACAAATAATGTAAAGATGCACACTGTGAATTTCAATATGCAATAAAAACAATATGCAAAACTTTGAACTTTAATATGCAGTACAAATAATATGCAACACTTTGATTTTTCCCGTTAACTTGCAAAAATCATTTGATGACCTTCCCGAATGATTTTTTGGCTGAATTTTTTTGTGGATAAACTAGACTTGATGGAAAACATGTCATAAAAATTTCATTGAAAAATTCCACCCGGAAGTCGGCCAAACGCCGCCGTCCGGACGGCGGTTCCGGTCAGGAATTCCTGACCGGAAGAGTACTCTCTCTCTCTCTCTCTCTCTCTCTCTATATATATATATATATATATATATATATATATATATATATATATATATATAGTGCTGTTCGAGTAAGGCGGCCTGACCGGACAGCCCCGTGCGGACTTCCCTGTTTGGGGGTCTTCCCGTTGAAATTTTTTGATGAATTGTTTTGAGCATGTTCCTCATCAAGTCTAGTTCATCCATACCAAATTTCAGCTCAAAAATTGATCAGAAAGGCAGTCAAATAAATTCTTGAAACATACTGGTCATTCTGCGCATATATAAAGAGCAGTATGTTTCAAGAATTTATTTGACTGTCTTCCCGATCGAATGTTGAGCTGAAATTTGGTATGGATATACTAGACTTGATGAGGAACATGATCAAAAAATTTCATCAAAATATTCCACCGGGAAGACCCCCAAACGGGGAAGTCTGCAGGGGGCTGTCCGGTGAGGCCTCCTGACTCAAACAAAATTATATATATATATATATATATATAGGGAGCAGTTCCAATAAGAACCATGCTTAACGTGAGAACGTGAGAACCATGCACTTTTAACACATCTCGGTGCACAATGAGGCTCACCTATTGCACTTTTTAAACTTGGGTCAAAACGTGCCAACTTTATATAAGTGTGGAGACAAATTTGTAATTATTTCGTTAACACGAAAATGTGCAAGAAATAATTGATATAGTGCATCACAATTGCTTAAAAGTGGAGTTCTCACGTTCTCACGTTAAGCAAGGTTCTCATTTGATCCAAAATCTATATATATATATATATATATATATATATATATATATATATATATATATATATATATATATATATATATAGGGAGCGGTTCCAATGAGAACCTCGCTTAATGTGAGAACGTGAGAACCATGCACCTTTACCACAACTTGATGCACGATGAGGCTTATTTATTACACTTTTTAAACTTTGGTAAAAACATGCCAACATCAAATAAATGTGGTGGCTGATTCGTAAATATTTTAACAACACCAAAATATGCAAGGTATAAACGATACAGTGCATCAGATTTGCTATAAAGTGGAGTTCTCATGTTCTCACGTTAAGCATGGTTCTCATTTGATCCAAAACCTATATATATATATATATATATATATATATATATATATATATATATATATATATATATATATATATATATATATATATATATATATAACTTATGAGTCTCTTTAATCAACTTTTACTAAACACAAAATTTTGTAATAGCGAAAATAAGCAAAATTTTGAATTCACTGCCGTTGCCGCAGAGGATTCAAAATGCATGTTTAATATGTATGAATCGTGCAATTTTACTTTTGTAATATTTAAAAAGTTATTATTTGTTTCTGTAGCATTATTTTAATGTAGTAGAACAACTCGTGTATCAAAAAGTAACTTTATCCATTTGCTAATCCTCAAGGACCTCAAGGAAGTTGGGCGTAAGTATATTCCTCTTAAGGTTAGCCTAAATGAGGCTGACTTCTGAGTTTAGATTCATAATGTCTCTTATAACTTTATGAATATTGACACTACTAGGAGGGTTGGTAATTATGTCAACAAGTTTGTTAGCTTTGATGAGAGGCATTTTGAAGGAAAGTGGGATGCTTATATGTGTATTAGGGTCTGCATGAAAATAGGAAAGCCACTGAAAAAGGAACGACACTTAGGAAAGGGGGTGTTGGCCACTGGGTTGATTTCAAATATGAAAAACGTCCAAGTTTTTGTTTTATTTGTAGAGTCATTGGTCATTTCGATAAGTTTTGTCCATTGACGTCTGAGGGAGATAATATGGCATTGAAAAAATCTTTTGGGGTGGAACGTAGAGCGGGGGAGGGGGGTCTAGTCCTACAGGAGAAAACGGGTGGCTAGTCAAAGACATTTCAAGAACAGGAATGGGATGCAGCAGAAGAATGATTGTCAGGGCAGTTTGGGCACAGGAGGACAAGGTGGGATCGTGGCTACGGTGGACCTTGTGAACACCGAAGAGATGCCGGGCAATCGCAGGAGGCTCTATGAGGAGTGGGAGGACCCAAATGATGATAGTATGGCTCTTGACAAGCCAAAAACGGAGAGGCGGCGGGTCCCGGACTCCAGACCCACCAAGATCTTTGAAGCAGTTTGGTTGGTAGGTAGGGTGAATGGCAATTGTGATCTTGAAGACAAAGCGTGATTTTTATTTTGATTTTTTTGCTATTTATTTTTCATGGTTAGACTGTTTACATCTCCGTTTCTATTGTTTATTTTTACTGTTGTAAGACTCTTGCATTAGAATGGGTAATGAGAGGTCTGCTTTGACCGTTTTTGGCTCATTTATGCCCATTACATGATCAACGAGTCATATTGCTTCTTTGAAGGTGATTGACTCTAAGTCTGGTTCGATGGCTGACAGTTGCTTGTGATCCTTTTGTCCTTTTACTCCATATTTGAATGTTGTGGTATCAATATACGCCATTTTATTCCAAAAAAAATAACTTTATCTAAGGACCACTATAATTTCCAATTGTGAACTTTTATGTTATAAAAACTAATCCATAATAAAAAGTTCAAAATATGAACCAGATTTTAAACTACTCAATGTTTATCCAATTAATTTTTATAACATTTAAATGGTAAAAATCTAGAAAGAAGTAAATTATGTAAGAACTCTCCTCTAAGAGCTTCTTGGACCATCTCAAAATTTAATCCATTTATCACTTTGTTACAAGAGAAGCATGAGCTGCTTCCATTTACAGTAAGATTCTTCTAGTTCCCGTAGCTGTAAAGAGAATTGAGATTTTGTGAGATTAGCCGTCACCACACAAAGTGGCTGGAAAAGGGCGACGACTGAGTAGGCCTGGGACTTAGAACCGTAAAACC